ACACTTTGTGCCCAGTGCTCTATGGGCCAGTGGGCTCCATCATAAAAGTATAAGTTCTTAACCCGCAAATTAGCTGAGCGATTAGTATCATTAAGAGCTAATTAGAAATTAATTGTTAACAATGACTTGTTGCCGTGTATCTAAAAAAAAGTTTCTTGCAGGGCTATACTCTTGTAAAGGGATCACTTCATATCTCTCTTCTACACAAACCTCAACTATTTCTATGTGATATTGATGAAAGCGGTATCTGTCTATATCCATTTTAAACACAGATAGCTTTCCCTACACATTTTGGTTGGATTGGAGAAAAGGAGGAAGGAATTAACATTTCCAAAGGACAACAGATAACAAAAATAAATTGAAATCCCCTTTTAAGGAAGGAAATTCTTTTTGTCTCAATACACAAATTTCCCAAACATTATATTAAACGGGCTCATCTTCAAAAGGTGAAATAATAAACATTTGCCAAATTAAGATATTTCTCACTTATTGACACTTAATAGGACTTGAATGGACCTGGAAATTAAAAACAAGGTTCTTCAACTTTTGAATTACCACTTAAAATATTTGTCATTCAAAATGAGTGTATGAATTGCTAATGACTCATGGGCTTATATTTCTTGGGAGGAGTTTTTGAAACATTTAAGCACAGCTTTTGCAGGAATTCCATAAATTCAGAGCTGTCACTGAATGTAGGCAAGCGTTTTTATGTTTCATTTCTTAAAATGACAAGGGTACAAAAAGTCTCTAGTTAAGGATACAGTGTAGTTTTATAGTCTGGGGATTGCTTTTTTAATGTGTCTTTTCAGAGTAGCTTTTATTTTAGGCGTGTGCGAGTTTTTTTGCCCACGGTTTGGGATTTGAAGATATGCACACAAGAAAAGTCATGCTTTTCTGCATTATCAAATATTTGATATTTGACTTTCTCGCAGCTTGAGTTCTCCTAAGGCCCAAAGTGTTCAGTAAGTGAGCAAACAGCCATGGATTTTCAATCCTGAAAATTCTTCGCAGTGACAGAGCAGCCTAATTGAACCAGTGTTCAGTTTTAGAACAACTGTTCAGTTTTAGGATGGTAAAGGGAAGTCAACTGCTCTGGGTGTTTGATAGACATAATAAATGATTTTCTCAAAGTTTCCTCTTATATTTGGAAATTTATTTTGTAAAGAATATCTTTAAAAAAAAAACTCACTTGCAGCGAGAATAAACCCCTTCTTCCATTTAATCAGTCATCAAAGTATTATTGATACATTCAACATCTTAAATGCTAATTTTAAAAACAGTCCTTGAAGACTGTAGGTAGAATCTGTCTTTTATATATGTACTTGTTTTTGTTTTCCTAGGAACTCTATTTTGTCCTTTTCTTTAAACGAAATACTTTAAAAAGTGAAACAGTATATATCACTAGAAATCAGGACTTTTAAAGCATTCATTTTATGGAGTCTTTGATAAAGAATGAGATAAGTATTAACATTGAAAAGACATCTATCTGCCTTTTCTGAAAGTTCATTTCAATTTTAGGTTTAGACTTTTATTACATCATTGACACCATGGTAGGAAATATTGATTGAGGAACATTGTAGTAAGAATATATTCTGATTTAAAAGCAGGTTTCTGCCTAAGGCACCTTTTTTCCCCCTCTATAAAATACATTCTGATTAGAAAATTGCCATTGTCTTTCAAATTTGGGAGTACTCACGTTGATCTGTGGTTGGGCAAAACTAGCTTGCCTGCCAACTCTATTTATTTAGATAAGTTCAGTACTTTCACTTTGAAAATTTCTTTTGAGTTAAAAAAAAGTTTAAAATTATAGTCATTTTATAAAAATTGCTTCTAGCAAGCAAAAGAACCAATGGAAAACCCATAATTTAGACAAGTACCTACATTTTATTTGCTCTCTGCTGTTGAGATTTAGAATCCCTTTCCATTTACAGTTTACTTTTCACAGAACATTATTAACTTTTTGGCTTCATACATGATCTTCTGTCAGATGCTTTTGATTTGTAATTTAGCAAAGTATAATAAACAGTGCAAAAGTCATGAATTTTGCTCTGCATCCTGAGCTCTGTGGTAGGGAAAAATGTGATAAAATGTGTACCTTAAGTCTTGTTTGATGATCTCTCAAAGCAAGTTTGCCTTCTGGAAATAATTTCTGGGGTTGAAGAGCATGGTATTAACAGATTTAATGTGGCTATTCAATGGATTGGCGAAGTACTATGTGAGGTTTAACAAAATGAGAGAGACAAATTGAACATCAACAAAAGTTACATCTGTGAAGAATTAGAAATTTAATTAGAAAAAAGGCAAACTTAAAAGACCTCATTAACTAATCAGAAGTCAAAGTTACTAGTTGAGGATTCTTGAATTGAAATTCTAAAAAGTTCTCTTTTTTTTTTTCTTTCCTCTGTATTTTCACAACTCTGTCAGTATGCTACTTGGGTATTCTCTACAAAGAGTTTTAAAAAACATTAAAGTAAAATGACTTCATTGTAATATAAGATGACCATTTATAATGTTATGGGAAATATTTTTGCACTCCTAGGAAGGAGCATTTGAATTAAAAAAAATACCAGATTAGGAGGAGACAAGGAACATATTAGGTTTATGGATATAAAGCAGAAAACATGAGCTTACTGGATGCCTAACAGCATTTTTCTAAAAACCATGAAATAGTTTTTTTTCTCTTTTGAATGGAAAGGTGCCTAATTAATTATTTTTGCAGCACATTATGTTTTGAGACCTTGAAAACCCAGAACCTTCCAGAGATTTTGGCAAACATAAGAGAAAATCAGCTCCAATCAGAAATAGGTGTGCTTTTTAGATAAGTCATTACAAGACCATGTTTCCTTACTGTGCTGTAATCTTGTACTACACATAAAAAACTAAAAGCATGTGAAGTGTAGCATTTTGTAAACTGTAACTAATTTTGCTCACATCTGTGTCTAATTGTTGTCTGCATTCGCATTCTTGAGAGTAGATTTATTTTTCCTGGACCACGATGTGGATTCAGCTGACCAACCTAAGTGAGGATTAGTTGTTTTAAAGTTATTTTGATTAAAGAGTCATTTTTAAAAACAGTAACACACAACACATGGTTTAAATAATCCTTGAGACACAAAAGAATATCTGAAGTATACTTAATGAAATGAAGATCATGGATGTGGAATCAAAAGTTATACAAAGTACAGTAAAGTCTAGCCAGCACACAAAAAAATGTATGTTGTGAAAATGCATTTGTTTTCAGTGAGAAAACCTGTTAGAGTAATTCCTATTTTGAAGCTCATTTTTTATTAACAGATTTGGCTTTGAAATTTAAATAGAATAGGTTAAACCTCAAATAAAAATATCAAACTTTGAAAGTATACAAGGAAACTAACATTACGTTTCTAAAATTATAGTATCTAGCCAGTGTTAAAATAGGAATGTATTTTAACATGTAACAGGACGTTTTACATACTCTTTCACATAATTAAGCCAAGAGAGTTCTTAAAACTAAGTTAGTTCTCACCTATAATTTATTCCAGGTGTATAAAAATGGAAATGGGGGAAGGAAATTTATCCTTGAGGTATATCACTGTAGTTTCTAAATGGAAACATTTACTCTTGTGTGAGAAAATTTAACAAAAAATTGCAGAAGGCTGTTAGCATCAAATGACCTACCTTGCAGGCATTCAAATACTTTTCATTAAATACGCAGGCATCTCTTTCAAATTATTTTGCATCCTGCACATATTCTTGAAAAGTAGACCTAGGAATTTCACGTAATATTAAACCAAGATATTTAGACTTTAATGATGCTTTTATTCCTGCCAAAAAGGTAGTACTACTTAATGTCATAAATCATAATTAAAAAATAACAGGACTCAATAGTAGATACTTGGTTGGATAAGTTTTGTGCCATTTGAGATGCTTCAGTTTATTCATCTTTGCTCTGTAACCCTAATTGATGTCTGTTCCGGTTGAATGAATATGCGCATCAAAGATCTAGATTTCTGTGTCCTTTTAAATGTTATGCAGAATGTTCTTCACCTCAGAGTCAGGCATTTGTCTGAGTTGGTGAGCCAGCAGCCCACCCTCACCTGAGTTTATATCACCTTGCTGCCTCTGGAGGAAGAACAGTGACTGGTAAAGCCTGCAGGCTAAGTTAGTCCTTCAGTGAAGCCCAGATACAGATTCCTCTGGGGACAAAAGAGACCGGAACTCTGGCCAACTGAGATACTGAACTGATTATTCAACCCTCCATTCTCTCTCCTGATTTAATAGATGGAAAATTAAAACAGAAAGCAAACTGCTCTGGCTGTTTCACCAGGCAGGCATGGATTTCCCTTGAACTTAAAACATTCACTGAATTTTCGGTTTCCTTGGGTGAATGAGTGCAGGGCTCCAGGATGGTAAGAACTTGCCTTGGGCCATTTCTCGTTGAGTCTGCCATTGCCTGCAAATTGCCCAGAAGCCCTTTGGAGTAAACTGTTCAGTGACAAATAGTAAATATGGGACAAAACATCACCATAAGGAGAAACACTGTCTGGAGTCAAACTCGTGGGCGGGAACTCTATTTCAGCTGGTGAGAGCAGAAGATGAAAGATCTGAGGATGCTGGAGGGTTAATGCTTGAACTGCTGCTGTGAAACATGCTCATTTTGCTAATAGCTATCTTTTTTCAAGTACCTTTTCCAAGCTGCCTGGATAAGGCTGCTTTGCATGTTGATTGGGGGAGGGGTAATCCCGTTTGCAGCTGTCATAGGCCAGTGATGAATCACTATCCCGTCATTTGGCTGCTTCCCCCCTCCCCCCCGCCACAAGGGGAGGAGGAGGGTAGACCTGAGGAAACAACAGTGGAGACCTCAACTTAAAGACAATATGCCTTTCACCGCTGCAGAATCCTCCTTTTTCTCTTTTGGTTAAAAGAGAGCATTGTCGTCCTGAGCCATGTGCTCTGTATAATTAAGAGCTGACACTGAAGCAGAGTAACAACAGCTTCTAATTTTTTACCCCTGATCACAGGTGCAAACATCTCAAACCAGTTCAGATGTTGCTGTTTCCTCAAGTTGCAGGTAAGGATACTGTTGATATTTGACATTCGGGGAGATTACCTCTCTATGACCCCCCTATCTATTTTTGTCTAGTATTTCTTAATTATTTCTATTAATAGCCTTGGTTGGAAATTACTTAACAATGTGTGTATGTGTGTGTGTGTGTGTTTGTAAAAGAAAAAAAATCTTAAATATGTAGAAAGGGAAGAGGAGCCTGGATTTGAAAATGATTAGGGGCTGTACTTTCTGGGGTTAGGAAAACTCTGAATGTGTATTGAGAATTAGGGGAGAAAAGTTGCATTTTAAGCCATTTCTCATTTGAATCCCAAAGACTTGAGGAAGTCAAAACTCACTTTAGAAGTAAAAACTGACATTTGCAGTCTAAGTGCAACCTTCAAATTGACTAGCTTTTATTGATCCGGTGGGGGTGAGGAACAGACAGTCTTAGCTTCATACATGTAATATTAACTCCCTCTTTTTTTTTTTTTTTTAAAAGAAAATCGTAAAGTTTAACATAAAGTGAATAGGCCTTAGACTTCCAAACATTTGGCTGGCAGAGAACAAAACGGTATCTAGATGTGTTTTTAGTCACTTTGAAGAAATGGTCTCCTCTCTTCATTAAGAAAAGGTGAAATAGAAATGGATGGTTCTGCAATTGTGAGCATGAATAGGGGCTTCTGTCCCCAGTAGAGTAACTGCTGAACCAAAGAACTTTCTGGGAAGATTTCTCTGTTTTGTGTTGTAAAAATGCCCAGTTTGAGCAGGGCAGTGGCATTGTTCTGATTTCCCCAAGTAGGTGACAGCTGAGGTGTCCCGAGTGCCCCTGTTTCTGGGCACTCACTGTATGCCGGCCTGATCCCTCCTCACTTGGGCTGGCTGTATGTAATCCACAGAGCAAACAAGTGAGCGGACATCAGAATGTTTTAATGCTGCATTTGTTTCAAGGGAAACAGAGGAACAATTAAGCAGTTTGCCAGAGTAAACACATGCATCAGGGCTATCTCATTCCCTGTCATTGGACTATAGGCTTCAAGTGTTTTATTTGGTTTGGAGACCCATTAAATTACAATTGGGTGGTAAATTATAAGGGAGTTCCTAGTGCTAATTTATTAGATGAAAGAGATTCCATAGAAAAGTGAATTTTTTTTTTCAATTTTACACTTTCGTGTTTTAGAAAAATAACACCTTAGGGTTTTTTTTTTCCCCCCATCTAAAAAGAAAAGCAGGACGGTCTGTTTTCTTTGATAATAAAAACAGATGGAATCATCTCATTAGATCTTGGCACTTGATGAGCTATTGAAGGAGAGAGAAATTTTTTTTAAAAAAATTCCAAAAAACTCCATACATGATGTTTGACTGGATAGGCAAGGTCAGTGACATCTTTTAATTTTGAAAGGATGACTGAAGTGAAAATATAAGAGGGAACTATTTGGAGTTGAAGAAAATAGATACAATGGGACTTTTGTGCGAATGTGTTTCAAAGGAGGTGTCAAGTCGTTAGCGCATTAAATAGTGGGCTTATGAATTTGGTACATCTGTCAAACGGAAGGCTTCTTGTCTTTAGGTCTATGGAAATGCAGGATCTAACCAGCCCGCATAGCCGTCTGAGTGGTAGTAGTGAATCCCCCAAACTCGATAACTCTCATATAAATAGTAATTCCATGACTCCCAATGGCACCGAAGGTGAGTGGCTGCCTTCTCACTGTTTACTTTGCACCTTGTTTCTTCGTCACTGTGCCCGGTGTTTCTAGGTGGTTATGATTTCAGTTGTCAAATCAGTGAAACTACTATTCTACCATTCATAGACTGGTGTTATTTCACAAAGATGCATATGTATATGCACAGTATACATGTGTATGTGCGCATGACATATTTATGCTTTGAGTGTATTTTTCCTTTTTGATTGTTCTTCACAGCACAGGAGCAATTGTAATTATTTTGCTCTATGAGCCATGAACATTTGAAATTATTTCCTTTACTTTCCCTTTTTACTAAATATAACCAAATTTGCTTCAGTGCAGCATTGGCCTGGAGTGTTGCTAAATATCAATAAATAATTTGTGTGCCTAATATTCATGTGACTTTCACCATTAAAATATAAAGAAGTAAAAGATACTGTTTACAAATATACAACCTCATTTGGAAGATAACATGAATTCATTTACTTTGTAAAGATTAAGTATATATTTCAAACATAGTACTATTCAATGATTTCTGTATAATACGTATGAATATTTATGTATATTTTATGTAAGTAGAAATACCTACTTCAATGCATGTATACCTAAGTCTAAACATATGGGTAAAGCTATTTGTATGTATCATTAGCTGGTGTGCATGTTTATTTAAGTACTATGTATATTTTTAAAGCTTCATAGAAAGGTATGTTTTGTATTGTATTTATTTTTATTTTATTCTATTGAAAAATTTCTTCTTCGAAGATGCTATTTTTGCTTATTTATTCCTTATCAAGCCTTAGGACCTTAGAGCATAAGTTTCATTAGAAGTCCGATAGATTATCAGTCTTAGAATTCCATGCATAAACCAAACCCTAACCATCATTTCTCAATCACCATGATGATCTTTAATCATAGTTCTTAAAAACAAACAAAAAGCCCCATGTCATAAAATTGTTTGTTTGGTGCAGTATTCCAGTATGTGTGAGGAAAGTCTTTTAAAACCGTTAATGATATGAAATTTCTGGTAAGAGACACAATAATAAAATCAGTTGTTTCTGATAGGAGTTAACTGGTAACTTTCATAACGACAGTGATTGTTTTTACATGTAAGTAGTCTGTATTTTCCTTTAATACCTTCACATTATGGAAAATGGTCTCTGTTAAAAGGAGAAACTTTGCTGACCCAGCCAAAAAGAGAAAAACCTCTGACAAAGGTTCATTTGTACGTGAAACTCTTCTCTGTCCATATCAATAGGCAATCAAAAAGAAATCTCAGTTACCTATAGGAAAGTCATTCTAGTGTTTTAAGTAGGTTTTATAGAGCAAATAAGATAAAAAGCCAGCAGTCCTTCCTTTTGCTCCTGTGGAATTTGGCTTCACGTGTGGGCATGGCAGCTGTCGCAGAATGGACTGGACTTGGGGTGCGCTCAGACCACTGCAGGGCCCTGGCTGGCCTGCCCTAGACCAGTGTCGGCGGCGGGCAGGGTGACCGCTGAGGGCAGCATCAGGGGACCAGAGATGGAGATCTTTTCCGGTCATCCTCGTCACTGTGAAGTCCAAATAAGACAATCATTTAAACTAACTTAAAGAACAAAGCTTTAAGTATGTTAAATTGTTTTGCTTAAGGGAATAGACCAATACATATTGGTAGGAATAACTGTGAAATGATGAGAGTTAATTTTCTCATATGTGAAGAAATACGGGCAAAATGTTTTCATTTTGTCATCACTTCATTGGCAAATCTTCTACAAAAGAAGAATCAGACAATATTAAAACAGGGTATGTGTTGGAAACGGCCTCTTGGATGGCTTCATGTGAAGGATGTGTGGTTGGTTTTTTAAGGGCATGTGAAATGATCATATTTCTGAATATTTACATTTAATAGCTTGATATCATGTTCATATTCAGGAATATGTGCTTCATCAAAGTTTTACATAGCTATAATAAATCAAAAATGAGAAAATATTTTACATAGCTATGTAACCTGCCAAACCATCAGCCTGAGAGATACTTATAAATTATTTCTTATCCTGAAAGAAACTCTTAATTTATCTTAGGCCCAAAAAAGTCTATTTCTAAGTCATATTTCAGACAAGTACCCAGTTACTCATCAGACTCTGTTTTAGGGCATTCTTTTCTTGTTGCTGTTTTTATCATACCTGTTTATTTACCTCTTTTGTTTTCAGGCATTTTTCACTGGGGTACTTTGCCAGGGTTATGGTAGTTAGAAAGTGAGGTGAGAGGTGTCAGTATAAATTATCCAGAGAATACATGAAGTTTTAGTCCATTGACTGGGGTACTCAGTTTTAGTGCACAGTTTGAAAACATGGACCCAAACTTTCCCCATCATCTGTGTGACAGGCCTGTTCAGATACAAACAGCATCAGAAAGTTCTGGGTTATTATTAAGTTTGTGAATCAATTTATCATGCCACTTACATATTCCATAAGGCATGTGTGTCTTTCCCTTCAGTCACCACTAGAGGAGTTAAGCTTAAAATCAGTGAATACAGTGTCTGCAAGCTTTCCTGGAATAGAATCTTTATAGATTTTCCTATCCTTTTTTTGAAATCTTATTTATTTTGAAACTAGCAATATTCACCAATGAATTAGTGGAATGAAAAAAAAAAACCCAAAAGAAATTCCTTAACTTTTCAAGGAGTGTTTAAAATATCAATCACCTCCCCTAAGTCCATAATAGGTATTTCAGGCTCTCTATGCCACAGTGGATATTTAAAGTGATTTTATGGTAGTCTAGTTGCAATGCGTCTCCTTAGTTAGGTCGACAAAACTTCCATTGAGTTTACATAGTTGTTGACCTTAACTCCACTTAGATAGGTTGTCTTCTTTCTCCAGGGCCTTTCTTTTTTTTTTTTTTTTTTTTTAATTTCCTGCAACCACTTGTTCCTATTATGAGGCTAAGAAAACATGAAAATCTCCTGTCTCAAAAACCATAACTTCATCTGAAGAACAAATAAGAAGGGAATGGAGTGGCAAGGCAGAGAATATTAAGTTTCTTCTTAAGTCTGCTGCCAAATTATCATAAGACTCAGTGTTTGTAGGTTCTGTCCTCACAGGCTAGTGCCTATTTTCATGGTTCATCTAAGGGATAAAGACACTGAGCTACAGCCTCAAACATTGTGCTTTTTTACTTCCTACTTGAAATATTCATTAGTGAGATTTCTTGCTTGAATATTTCAGGTTTCAAAAGTTTCAAGCCTACATGTTTGTATATTCCAACCTCTCTGTGAATCGTTATTGTTTTAGTGAACTGTGGGTTTCACCCAGTTTATAAGTCTTTGAAATAGAAAGCATAAAGAGGCAAAAATATAAAATAGCATAAGTGGATGCTTGACTTGCATTCAGAAAAGCACTGTTAGGAGTAATTTATTTCCAAAGGAATTAGTCAATATTTTAGATTACTGTTGTACAGTTAAATCTTGACTTAGACTGATGGAATGGTTATGGTGGCGTTTCTTTACCTGATTTTTTTTCCCTAGTCTTTTGGTCTTCCAGGACAGAATGGGAAAGATATTTGTTATTAGATTATTAAAGAATAATTTTTAACGCATGGGCTCTTGGGCGATGATGCTTCCATCAGTTAAATATGAGCATCTAATCTGAGAGGATTTCCAGCGTATATGTTCAGGTCTCTCTATGGTAGAGGCTGCGTGTTGATGTTTGTGTTAGGTAAATGTGAGAAGTAGTTGGGAAATGTTTCTTCAGAAGGACTTGGGGATCTAGCAGTAAAGGGATTTTTATTTACATACCTAATTAAGGCCTTGTTTGCAAAGCAGTGATTCTTCCATCTTTGTTTTTTCTGGTTGTCTTAAGACCATGGGAGCCTAAGATTGGTCAGTTCATATATTGTTAGTGTGAGTGTTTATTTTTGGTTGTCTGGGGGTGAGGAGTGGGGAAGGGCAAAAAGGAGGTGTGAGCCGGCGGAACTAAAAACTCTCAATCTGAGTTTTCTGGATTGTAAATTTAGATACAAACTCAAGAAGAGGCTAAACTTGTCTTAAAGCAGAGGAATTTGCCTTGAAGTGACATAAAACCAGATGCAATTGGAATCTTTACTGCAAATAGGGTTTCAGGAATTCTTATGGTAATTTGAATAGTAATTTTGAATTGGTATATCAGATTTCCAAGATGATAAGAGATGCAATCTCAAATTAGGTGGCTAAATTTTCTGCATTTTAAGATTGATTTAATTGTGTATTGCATATTTTTGGATGATAGGTTAATTCAGTTTTACAAATTTCTGTTATCAGGAGTTTAAAGTTTACTTATCATTCCTACAAAGCTTAGAATGCAAATTATCTTGAATTTGTTTTCCTCACTGTAATTTTAATGTCATAAAGTATAGTTATATCCTACCAGAGTATTTTAAGAAATCTTATTTATGAAAAATATGGAAACTAGAGTGAATGTGTATAAAATTATGGTTTGAGGCTACATTTAAAAAACTATATTTGTATATTTGTGGTCAAATATTCTGTTGTCAATAGAAAAATGGTAATCTAATTTTATTATTGTTTACATTCTGTGCATGATTTAGTTTCTGGAAGATGAAGGGACATTGTAAGTAAAGGAGCTTCTAAGTGACATTTTTAGAGTTTGTAGTCAAAAAATTGGCCTCTTTTAAATTGTTCTTTAGCAAAAGCCATGAAAGGATGAAAAAAAAAACTTAAGATTTAATATTTGCATACATAGTTATGGGAATAATTTTCACATACCTATTGATACTTAATAATGGGTAATTTTTATAAATAACTTATTAGTCACTAAGCTGACCATTCTGATTCATTTCATTAATCTTCAGAGGATCCTTTGATCACCAACATAGTGGGTAGGTCACTGGGTTTGAATCCCAGCTCCATTTGCTGGCTGTGTGAGCTCAGGCATGTTTGCTTCTGTGTGTTTCAGTCTCATCTGTATAATGGGGATAATAGCAGGTCTTACTTGCTGTGAGCATGATAAGTAAACCTTGTAACACACTAGTGAC